TTCAATATTGAGTATGAAGAAGGGCTGCCTTGTATAAACTTTTATCTCAGACTCTACCCGCAGCGGCTTTCGCCTATATCGTCACCAATCTACCTCACGACCATCTCTTGACCATCACATGCTTTTCTATTTGTTCTTTGGCAAGTGTGATTGTAAGTTATCCTCTGCAAAATTGCTCGATTACGGTTACTCCCATTGAAACTAATGTGTTTTAGATTTCTGCTTACTTGCGATTTTCCGCTCCTGAACATGTCGCTAATAGCGGAAATACTCTACGCTCCAAGTAATTCTTTTCAGCGTTTGTGTGCAGTTTTTGTGAAGAATTCTGGAAGCTCCTAACTAGCGTGTTTGCAGATATCAGACTAAGGAAAACAGCAAAACTATGATTATTTATTTTTCCCTTTCACTCAATGAATTAGTGACAGGAGTAATAATGGTTGGTCTTATCTATTTTGTCTACAAAAATGATGAAGCAGTTGAAATAAAAAACATCAGTTATGCTGCCGAAATGCTCGATCTGGTAAGATTTTTTGCATCACAACCCGCTCAATAAGCAAGTCAGGTTTTTTTTAAGTTGCCAAGATATCGTAGAAGAGAAGCAAAAAGTTGATAGTTAGATAATATGCCAAAAATATTCATGAACAAAAAATCAAAGCTCTTTCAAGTAACTAGCTGCTTGTGAAAATTCGCTTGTGTCACTGCTATGTCACTAGTGATTTGAAGGAGATTAGCAACATATTATATTAACATATTATAAGCTTTTACTATTTTTGCAGTTTTTCTATTAATTTAGGTCACCGCTTATCGGGTTTTGATGATCAACGTAGCCTTGATGTATTATTGGTCCAAAGAGAAAAAGGCACGTAAAGTGAAGAATATAACAAGCCCCAACGCTGAAGATCATTTCAAGGCCATGAAAGAGATGTGGAAGTAAGCTTAACTAGTTAAGATAAGAGATTTAGAGTATTGTTGCAACACTGCTCTACCTCGTTCAATCTCAATTGACCGTTGTTTGCTCCTATTGAAGACTATGTGTAATTATCTGACTTGGTTGAATTTGCTAAATAAACAGCTCACCAGGTTGCTGACTACAATATGTCATTAAGCGTGATTCTAACAACAAATTCCTCCACATTCTACCAACGTGTGGAAATTATTGC